AGAGAGAGAGAGAGAGAGAGAGACAGAGAGAGAGAGAGAGAGAGAGAGAGAGAGACAGAGAGCGAGCAAACGAGCGAGTACAGCAGCAATGATCCGAGAATAAAGGGGATAGTTTGCCACGCACAAGACGGAAAATGACAACAGCACACGATTGGACGCACCTACGGCTGTCCATAGTTTCTGAAGGGCGAGATTCCATCATGGCGTCTGACGCTGCCTGTGAAGCAGGTCGGACTCTTGCGTATCGCTGCAAGTCGACACACGATGAAAGGCCGTGCGGTCGGCGTCACCGGTGTATGACGCCAGAACAACGGCTCGCTGTATGCCGCTCTCGCTCCCGATACCTAACCGCTGCCGCGAGCCTTGCGGTTGCCTTTTCCCGCCGCCGCCATCAGCAATTTTTCGGGGACGCAGCAGACCATGGCCGCTTTTGTTGTTCGCCTTGGGGCCCTCATCACACCGTACCCAGCCGTCGTGTCTTGTCTCTCCTCCTACAATCATGACACCAACAAGCCGCCGACGCCGCCGCCACATCACGCGGCACGTCCCGCAGTCAGCAACGCACGTGCACGCCCCGAACACATCAAGGGTGATCCTGGCGCCGTTACTGGTGCCACCATGACAATTTGTCGCTGGCAACGGTACCGGGCCCGAATCACGCCTCAAGTGCCCCGGGCGTGCGCGCGGTTGCCGACTGCGGTACGTGTCGCGTGATGTGGCGTCGGCGGCTCGTGAGTGATGGCTCGACGGGAGGCAGGCATAGCCGCCATCACCACGACCAGGTCGGGTATGACAGAGGCCCGAAGAACAAGGCAACCACGGTCCATTTGCGTCCGTGGAAAATGATGCTGCCTGTGGCTGCGGCAACACTGGAAGAGGAAACCGCTAGGCTCGCTGCTGCTGCGGCAGCGGTGGAGGTATCGGAAGCGGTAGCGAACCGTTGTTCTGAAGCACGCACACCGCTGCATGTTGGCACACATCGTTCGTTGCAAACCCGTATTTACGCCGATTCTGTGAGTACGCCCGGAGGAGCGTCACACACACGGACAACGGTGCGAGGATGTCATTTCTTTCTACCGAAACTAAAGTCTAGAACAACAACCGAGCGGAATCGGTACGTTGAAACACCCCCCCCCCCCCNGGAATCGGTACGTTGAAACCCCCCCCCCCCCGCCGACTGCGGTTGGGAGCCCCCGGCGGTGACAAGGGGCACGGCATTGCTTACCAGCAGCCGGACAGTACCGCCTTGATTTGGGCCACGTGGGAAGACTGATACCACGCATGAACGAAAGAAGACGTGCTCGTTCGTTCGATGGGTATCTATCTATCTCAGAACGGAAACCGGCATCGTTTGTTGACGGCTGAAACGCTTCTCGAACCTTTCCGTGCGCCTCGTCCAACAACAAAAAAAAAACAGGGCGGTACTACCGTTCACGGGGAATGAGGAGGCAGGCCGAAACCACAAAGCAAGCCAAACTTTGCACCGCTACACAGGGCTTCGCGCCCCATAGATACCACCCGGAAAAGAAGGTCGGGACCCCAAAAGAAGGTCGAACATGCCAAGGAAACAACAAAAGTACACCCCCCCGAAGGGTGAATGCGAATTAGCTACAGAGTCATTCGTTGGTTTCCGCGAAATGGAAACTCGCGGCGCCCCCGAGGAACCAGGCAAAACAAAAACACAAATACCGTCGCACCTGATGGGCGGCGATGGCGGTGGAACCAACCCGAGCGGCAAAGGCGGTAGCGGTGCCCAGCGCCCCCTTCGAAAACAAGAAAAAAGTCGGGAATAAGAATCGACATACACGGAAAAAAACGCACACTCACCCCCGTCAAGAGCCTCGATGAGGCTGCCTACGACTTGAAATGGGCCAGTCGGTTAGCGCAGTCACTGCAAGGAAACATACTGTATCAATTAGTGCTAGGAACACACTCACAATGAAATGGTCAGCCGGATAGCGCGGTCGATGCCAACTCAATTAGGAACACACACACAATGAAATGGTCAGCCGGATAGCGCGGTCGATGCCAACTCAATTTGGAACACACACACAATGAGTTGGTCAGCCGAATAGCGCGGTCGATACCAACTCAACTAGGAGCACACACACGTGCGTTTCGGGTGGGAGATGGTGTTCCACTGGGGCATCTGACCGAAAAGAAAGAGAGGCTGCTTGAGGCGTGCGTCATGCAATCCGGCAACACACCACGAAAATGTTGCTGTTGGATGCACGAGCATGCCGATCGATCTTGGTGACGGCATCGGGAAGCAGCTACTATTATACTGCACCTGCAACGCTACGGTACGGCCAAATACGGCGGCGGAGGACGTCAGAACGGCGCTGCCCTCCTTCCACCCTTCTCGATTCTTCGGCAGCGACACCGGGCGCAGCCTGCGAGTGTTCGGCGTCGAAAAAAGGGTGGGCGATCGACATGCACCGGGTGGTCACTGCCAAATATCCTGGCACTTCGACGTACACACAACGCAAGAAAGAGCTCTCAGCTCCACAATGACCGCCACACCCTTTGTTTCATACCGATAGGAGGTACGAGCAGCCCCAGAATGATTTTCTCGCTGGCGAAAACGTTGCCGTGTAGCACAACGAGAACAAAGAAGATACACGCACTTCCGAAAAGATACCGCTAACAGCCAGCTCGCCCATCACCCACACCAAGCGCCGACTTCCCACGTTTTCGCATGCGGACGGGCATTCGGACGATACAAAAAAAAAAAAAAAGATTACTTCCACCA